TTCTTTTCTTTTTTTAAAGGACGAATTTTAGAAGGACAATTTTAGGAAAAGAGCACGAATTTTGAAGGTCTGCCAATGAACGGTCGACAAGGTCGTATTAAATATTTCGTCTCCTCTGTACTTTTTCCTCCTTTACTTACTGAGAGCTCTCTCAGAGACGTTAGAAATTGTAGCGGCCACTGAGGTAAAAAACACTCCAAGCGAGGTGTTTTAGATAAATTATTAACTTCTCACAGTTCAATTTAGCTGGCAATATCATCACTTGCCTGAGGGTTCGTCATACTCTAATGCAGCAATGTGCGACCAGTTGTTCTGCTACTGCAACCCAGGGTCTCAGAACAGAAGTGGCGTTTAAATCTGCAAGCTGACATACATCACAGCCAAAGTTCACCTCCGTGTGCGAACACAGTGAGACATGGAAACCCTTAACGAAATACCAGACACGTTCAACAGCATGGGATAAATCCAGCACCTTGGAAGGAGACAGCGTTTTGGTAACCATTCCCCCTTTTGCCATGATGTATATTAGGCCTGTAGACTTGCAAACTGGAAAGAGGCGTCATGCATTATTTGTGCGTCTAGTTGTTTGGAGGGTGAGCAGGATAGGCAAGGGAACATCGCAGACAACCCACCCTCTGCCCCTACCCAGCAGAAAAAAAACCCAGAACTCTTTTATCCAACTGATGGGCACCAGATACTGACCTTCAGGTCTCTGTGTACTATGCCATTTAGGTGACAATGATTAACACTTTCTAGAATCTGCTGTATACAATGACTGCAAAGATACAAGGGCAGAATGGAAGGGAGAACATTTTAAAGGCACATAATCACATTAAATACAAAAGAAAATAAAACTTAAAAAAATTATAAAGAACAAAAACAGTTTTACATCTCCTGACAAGTCCTGACTGTACATTGAACTGGAACAAAACGTTGAATACAGAGATATTTCCAGCTCTAACACATCCAAAAAACAACAGAAAAAATTACATGTTAACATCGCAACATGTTAACATTACAACAATGCTAAGACAAGAATATGTTCTGAAATGAAATGATACTCAAAAACAAATGAAACAAAAAAAATCGAAAGCTAAGAAAAATCAAGACATTTCCCATTTTGAATCTAATGGTTTCTTAAACTATTAGTAGATTAATGCCAAGTCATCCAAAAAGGAGGCATGCATTTTCATTTAAAATACCATCAAGCAATAGTTTGGAGCCACTCATCAAATGGAAAACTACATTAAAAGATGAGGAAAAAAGTTTTATTTTGGAGCTTAAAAAAAAAAAAAAAAGAATTAGCGCCTATTTTTCCATGTCCAGGTTTGCAAGTTTTGGCCAGGCTATAGTGCCAAAAAGCACAACTAAAATATTCATTTTTTACAGAACTGGAACTTTGTCAGATGTTTTCGGCACCACAAGAGCTTATAAATTTTTTTTTTAAAGATATCGTGGCAGAAGTCTGCAACTAAGTAACATACAGCAGTCAGGGGCCAAGGATTTGATATGCTCATCCAAAACGTGTTGGCCATGGAATTCAGAAGGAATGGTCATAAATCAGTAACTGGAGCCCAAACCTGAAAACCCTTTCTTATGTGAGTAGTTCAGAACTCACTGAACTAGACTGCTCATAGGAATAAGGACTACTTGCATGAGTAAGGGCTTGCAGGAGCAGACCAGTATAACGATGACAGAATATGCATCTATAGAGTCCATTAACTATTTCTAAAGGGATAAACACACGCTCACACACATACACACACACACACACACACACTATATATATATATATATTTTTTTTTTTTATATACACACATAAACACATGAATATATATATAAAAATATATAAAAATACAGAAATGCAAGATAACTATATATTTCACTTATTTGGTCAAGTTTTTACTAAATATATAAATATATATATACACACACACACGCATGCGTGCACGCAATATATATATATGCACAACCCCTTCAAATATGTAACAACTCTAGAAAAAAATCATTACAATTTTTCCCTTTTAATCACAAATATCTTAAAACACACAATGACACCATATGCTGGCCTTTGGCATCAATATTACAAACTTTGCCTGAATCAAGAAGGCAAAAATCATTCAACTACTTGTGAAAAATAGCCTGTCTCCCTGCACCCCACCTAAATTACTAACCTAATTTTCTCTTCTACAGTATGTTTTGCCATGTCTTATTCTATATTTAAACACTTAAGTAATGATGTTTCTACCATTTCCCTGCAAATTAGACTATTACACAGTGCGTGGATGCTTCCTAATATCCATCCTATCTTCTCATTTGCTCATTATCATCCTACCACTGTTGTTATAGACATGTAATGCTTTCCAGGCATCTGCTAATAATTCCTAATATAAAGGAATAACTGAAAATTATACATACTAAATATGTATCAGTGGTGGTATGTGATTATGAATACACATGGTTTCATGATTATGAATACACAAAACCATGGTGACTCTTCAAATTTACTTTGAGAGAAATTTTCTGCAAAGAGCGCAGCAGTACGACAAGTTTTCTTTAAGGTTATTGACCACAGTGTTTAAGATTTATTATTATAGGAGGGCAAACAGTTCCTGAAATGGAAAAATGGCCCTGCTACTCTATATCACCATACAAATATGATAATCTTCAGCTTATTCTTCAAGTTTTTCAAACAAGCACTTGCAGCAAAGTACTACAGATTTCATATTTGAGCTCAGACTGTGAGATGCACAGTATAACTGCTTATTCATGAAACACAACAAAACTGTTTAAATATGAAAATGAAATTAATCTTTCTGGATCCATATCAAAAGTGGTATTTAATAAAAAATTCTTTTCAAAACTAACATGTATTTCAAACATCTACCAACAAACATGAGAAACCCTGGATGAGATAGCTGAAATGATACTTCCAGTTCACAAAAAAAGAAAATTGAGTAAGATTTTTTCACAACTTTACAAAGGTTTAACAAACTGAGATAAAATTCCCGGTTTTTTAGATCAGCAGATGTCAAGATTTCATAAGCTCTTCATCACATAGTCTTGAGCTCAAAACCCCAAACTATGCCTCTTCCAAGTCTGAGAGAACTCTAGGAGAAATCCTAGAGTCCCACGGGCTGTGCTAGTCTAACTGATGCCAAACACCATGGGATACTTAGGTAACAATGATAGAATTATGAAGGGCAACATCAGAAAAACAACTTACTTACCTGGCATCTGCTTCACTGTAATATTCTCTTGCAACTATATCTTCAAACAGTTCACCTCCAGTGACTCTGTTAATAAAAGCAAGATAGGCAAGGAGATTTCAGAAGTGAAAACATGCATCTTAAATGCAGTTCGACAAGGAGAGGTCAGAAAGGAACAACCGAAATATTTGTACAGAAATGAAAGAGGTCTTGACAACAGCGTGGCGGAACTGCATCCTAAAGTTTGCCAATCCAAATGTTATATGAATAACAAGGATGTGGTGGAAGAGCAATCATAACTAGAAAACAAAAACAAAGAGCAGTAGCTTATCGGGCAAGATGCCAAAACTGAGAGAAGAGTGTTAAGAGTAAGCAGTAAACCTACATGAATGAAAGGGAACTGACCAACGAGGAAAGCTGTGGCTTAAGTTCGGAAAAGCTCAGGATAAATTGAGAACTGCAACAACCAAGCTGGAGTTAAGACTTAAGAAAGGAGAATTTAGTAATCGTAAGGCAAAAGGCCTTTAGGCATAGGTCAAAACACAACAGAGACAGAATCCATGTGCCATACTGACTTGAATTTTGTGGTTCTGCTAGGAGAATTACTGAATTGGAAGGAGACAGACTATCAGTAGAAGTGGAGTACCATAATCAATTTAATAGCATATTTTTTCTCCCGAAATATTTTCAGTTATATTTTTGTCAAGAAATGAGGAATACTTCAGTGAAATTGCCAACTCTATGAAGTTAAGAGGCATTAATAGTACAGAGGAAGAACTGTATGATCTAGAAGACCAGTAATAAAGGAACTGAGCATGGTTGTATACTTAGCATTTTCACTGATTGTACAGAAGTGACTAAAACCAAATAAAACTGTTATTAGTCAATCAAAGGAGGATAGCCCAGAATAAATCACCAACAGGATGCTGCCATAGTCCTAGACTGCTTTTAAAATAGGGTCACAGTAACGTCTCTCCATATAGCAGTAAAATCACTCCTTGCATACTGTGTACGATTCTGGTAACTCATGTTCAAGAAGGGGGAATTAAAACAACAATATGATCAGAAGATTGCTATTAGACTATCCCTTCACTTACTCGTCCTATCTTCTCAGAGAAGCAAAGTTAGTTTACCTTGGCAAAACAAAGTTCAAGAGGGCTATGACAACTTTCTAAAAATAAATATTGAAGACAAAAAGCATAAATACCGTAAAGGAGAGCTGTGAGAGACAATACTGGCACAATAATAAGTGAGCATAAAATACCCCTGAATAAATATAGGCCTAAAATCTGAAGAAGGTTTCCTAACTATGATATAGCTGGGGTAATTAAATAATATTTGGTAAAGTAACTGAGACGAGTGTTCTCTTTTTAAGATGAAGATTGATGAGCTTTTTAATAAACTCACAAAACTTGGCTGCCTGTGTCAGCAAGGGATTGGACTCTAACAGGAAGATCTTTCCAGTACTATACTCTGAAATTTCTCTTGTATGGAATACACTGGCATACTTTCCCAGGTAATGCAGATCTTCATATACTTAGATGCTGCATCGGACAGCGGAAAACAGATGCAAGCCTTGAAAAGGCACAAAACGTGGAGCACCCACCTGCACAGCCTCAACAGAGCACCTTGTACAGGATGCGTAAGTTAGTCTGATTCCTGTTTCCTAAAACCTTGATCCCACTTACATGTTCACATAAATTAAATGATTCCTAGATGGGAAGTCAACGTCTGTATTTCAATACTGTTTAAGAAAAACTTTCATATAGCACACTGTTGTCAGTAAATTTCCAGACTCAAAGCAGGAGTGGGCTACAATAAACCTGTATTAAGATGTTTAAAAATCTATACCACCACTATTAGTTTTTTTCATATAACATCAAAAATTAAGAATGAGGATACCTGGAATCTTCAGAACCAAAACGTTCATTTTCAAATTGCTGTAATAACAGATCATTGTAGATCCCAGTTATTCAGACATATTAGATGAAGACAGAAATGAACTGCTCAACTAGTAATACAACTCCTTTCTTTGAGAAAGATGGTGAAATTTTTATTTTGTTTCCATTTATATGTGGGCTACATCACCCTTTTCTGAGTTCACACCTTACTAACTTTGGAAGAAAATCTCTTTCATATAACACAACGCTATTTTGTACAAAAGTCTGCAACAAAATCTGCAGGAAGTAAAATAACATGCTACCCAATTTGTACTCTGTCGCTCTTTTTTTGTCTTCTGCCTTCCAGAAACCGGCTTTGGCTGCTGTAACACAAAATGCTTGACTGATGCATATTTTGACAGTCTTTGATATCTCCTTTTCCCTATATATTTATCTATTACAGTTTTGGCAAAGAGGAACAATTTGCACTTTGTGATGAATGAAAAAACAAGGCATCCTTTGATGTTATTCTTCCCTAAAACACTCATTTTTGATCCAAAGCCAAAAAAAAAAAAAAAAAGAAACAAAGAAAGAAAAAGCTTTTGTTCTCGAAGTGAGTATCAGTTGGAAAGAACACCAAACAGATGCTTGTTCTACTCAAGCACAGAAAAAAAGAGGGGCTATTCACTCTTACTTGCTGACCCTGAACATTTTGCTTGGTGTTCATAATCGTTGTTAAAAGATGAAAAAAAGCAATAACAGAACAGGGGAGTTTCATGCTGACAAACAAACAAGTAGCCAACAATTCCCACGCACTATCACTCTAAAAGGCACATTAGGAGCAATTGATAAAAGCCAGGCAGATGCCTGTAACAATGATAGCTAGTGCAGGTGCCCAGAGAGAATCTGAAAGCTACCTGCAGCTTTTGTGCCTTTGCTCTTAGAAAATCCTTAATAATAATAGCAGTGTTGGTCTTTGCTTATTATATTATCATTGAACATGAATTGGCAATGTGCCCTTGCAGCAAAGATGATCAACTGCATCATGGTATTAGCAAGAGCATAGGTCAGCAGATTGAGGGGAAGTGATTCTTCCCTGCATGTGGCGCTCATGAGACTCAGTCTGGAGTACTATGTGCAGTTTTGGGTTGCCCAGTACAAGAAAGACATTGACATACTGCACTGAGTTTATTGGAGGGCCACCAAGACGGCTAGAGGTCTGGAGCACATGATGTACAGGGAAAGGCTGAGAAAACTGTGTTTGTTCACCATTAAGAAGAGAAGGCTCAGGGGAGATCTCATTGCTGTCTACAGCTCCCTAAGGCATGGGTACATGGAGACAGGATGAAGGGCAATAGACATAGGCTAGAACACGGGAAATTCCAAACTGATACAGGATTTTTTTTTTCTTATTACATTTTATCATGCACATGTTGCCCACAGAGGTTCTGGCATCTCCATTCTTGAAGATGTTCAGAACTTGACAAATCCCTGAGCAACCCGATCCAGTTGGACCTGCTTCAAGAAAGGGGTTAGACTAGATAAGCTCCAGGGGTCCTTTCCAACTTATACCATTCAATGATTCTATAAATAAGGAACAAAACAGTTAGCAATGATTCTGTAACCTTCCTGCTGTCCTCCGTGCAGTTTAATACCAACATGGCTTCAAAACACTCCTAACTCCTTCTCAGACCTCATTTTGCTAAGTGTATTTTTCCCCCTGTACCTTCAATTATGAAATAAGTTGACTAGGGATAGACTTAAGATATCTACTATGAATGCAGACTACACAAATACAAGAGGTCCTTGGTCATGAGTTTTTGCCTGCCTACCTAAAGGCTGAAATGACCATGACCTGAAACGAAAGAGTGATGTACTCTCTGAAGAATGCATGGCTCAAACGTTACTGCATTGTTACCACTAGGAGCATCAAATTGGCTTACGTGGAGAGGTGTGCTGAAATCAGAACTCCTGGAGGTGTTGACGATCAAAGACAGAAATACTGAGATTGATCTCTGAAATCAATTTAGATGAGGAAATTTAAATATACCTTATCTATACTTCCACTGCTGCTGCTTTTGTTTAACTTTTTAAAAAAGGCTTAACTAATGGAAAACTGATGCAGGGTACCATGCAGGGGAAAAAGAAATCATATGCAGATTCTAGTCTGTGTACTTAGGTTAGAAGGTAACTGTCAGTATAGATTAGATCTCTGGCTATATCTGGACAGGCTATACACAATATAAGTGAAGACTGTATAAGCAAAGGGTAAAGATCAAAAAATAAGCAACGTCAACCCTGCATTAGAAAGCTCCACGAACAGCTGCCAAGCTATTTACTCCCCAGGAGATTAAAAAAACAGGATGCAAATGAATCTGAATGCCTTTCCGTTACAGGTATATTGCCAACTTCATGACAGGACATTGATAATAGGGGCTCTATTAACTTTAATGGTACAAATTAAAACAGTTACTTGTTCTCACAAATTATTCTTGGTCTTTTGTAACTTTCCGAAGAGTATACTAATAGAAACAAATAAAGTATGTGGGCTTGTTTCAAGAAAGAAGTACAAGCACTACGCAGAGAAAACAAGGCCCTCTGCACCAGGTATGTCTTTCAGAAAAACAGCAGAGAGAAGCATGCGGGTTTTCACATACAAAGTCTGTTACTCCCATTTAATCTCAGGAGAGGTTCATTAAGAAGCAGTTTTTAACTGCTCCATTCAAAAGTGCTTTTTGACTGACTTGCTATACACACTAAAACAAACTATTGCATTTACAGTGTTAAATGCCACATTTTTGTCACAGACATTTTAACACCGTATTATATAAAAAATATTTACTTCACGTACCATATTTAATTTGCTAGAAAAATTTAAGAGTATTAGCAAATATTTAAAAGGAAAAGAGCAGGTTCCTAAACTGGCAAGGCTAATAAAAAGCCTCTGCAGATGATCACATCAGCTTTGCTTCCTTCTGGCTTACATTCCTCATTTCTTAAACTGTTTTCATAATTAAGGTGGGAGGAAGCCATCTTAAAAAGTTACTACAGTCATGTATTTTTACACTTCTCTGTGGCCTTCCTCCTTCTGAAAAAGACACAAAGGTTAAGGCACTTGCCCTAGGCAAAGATTGTTCTGCAATTAGGCTTTTTTGTATTTTTCTTTCTTCTATACGCTATAGTTCATCCACTTGGAATTCTACAGCACTGCTGGGACTCTAAATGTACCAATTGTTGTATCTCAACAAGTGCATTAAAAACTGGAGACTATGAAAAAAAAAGAGACTCTAACTGACTTGCATAAGAGAATTTTCAAGTGCTACAGCTGTTCCCATTCAGATACAGCAATTAATACTGACAGAATTGATTGGATTTGAAGTCATATAACATCATTAACACTGAAAACAATCTCATTCGTACTTGGCAACTGAAATGGCTTGATAGAGAGAGACAAGTCCTAACTACAGTTGCCTTAGCCAAAAAAGGGATGAGAAGTAGGAAACTTTATTATAAAGTCCATTACTAATTTTACCATGCACATTTTATCAATCTGAAAAACGCTTCACTCTATCCAGCAGGAGAAACATGACAGGAATAAGTCCTCTGCTTGGGAGAAGTATCACAGAAGGTTATCACAGTTTATTATCTAACGTATGTAGGAACCATGTTGGTAGATCAGTAAGAATACTCTGTTCCTAGGCAGTGACATCACAGAGTCCTTGCAAATCACTACCTTACCTGCTACTCAAGTACAAAATAAGGACCACACTCCAGAATTACACTGTCATTTACAAAATTTCAATCTTATATTCAGAAATGGAGAGTCAGCAACCAAAGGCAAAAAACGTATACGGCATGGCAAAACATTACTTTAGTGCATCTAGTTTTTTCAGATGCAGCACTTCTCACAGGAACACCCCTACACTGCAAATAGAAAGAACTTTCATTTTACCAGAAAGCACATCTTTCAGGCTTTAATGTGTAGATTCCACATAGATTTTAAAAGACTTCCACCTTCCCATTTTTAGATTAGAACTCTTCACCCAAATGCAAGCCTGTAACAGGGTACATTAATCACTTTTTTTTTTTCCTCTAGATGAAAGCACAACTATCAGTGAGATACGCAAGTGAAGCAAAAGGCTTGTTCTTCAGATAGCAGACATCCCTGTGACATTAATTCTAACAAGATTATTAGAAATTGAAAACAGAGTGACAATCATTGTTCTTTCTATTTAAAGAAAAGCACTCTTT